TCAGTCTCACAGACAGAGATTGGAAGTTGGTTCCACAAGAGAGGAGCCTGAGAACTGAAAGATCTTCCTCCCATTCTGTTTTTGTAAACTCTAGGAACCACAAGTAAACCTGCAGCCTGAGAGCGAAGTGCTCTGTTAGGAAAATATGCAGCAATAAGATCTATAATATAAGATGGAGCTAGGTTGTTGAGAGCTTTGTAGGTTAGAAGTAAGATTTTAATTCTATTCTGGATTTGACAGGGAGCCAATGGAGAGAAGCTAAAACTGGAGAGATATGATCTCTCCCAGTAACTCCAGTTAAGACTCTGGCAGCAGCATTTTGGATCAACTGAAGACGTTTTAAAGAAGTATTTGGACACCCAGATAATAAACCATTGCAATAGTCCAGTCTAGACGTGACAAATGCATGGACCAGTTTTTCTGCATCATCTTTAGATCAGATGTTTCTAATGTTAGTGATATTACGCAGGTGGAAGAAGGAGGTTCTAGTAACATTTTTAATGTGGGGGATAAAAGACATGTCCTTATCAAAAATAACACCAAGATTTATTAGAACTGGAGGACCGATTAATGAGAAGTATTGTAACTACAGCTAGCAAACTGTTAGGGACCACTCTGCCGAAACAATGGTCTCTTTTGATGTCACATCACTCTTTCAGAATTCGAATCAGAATAAACTTTATTGGCATTGCACCGAGATACAACGAGAATATGTACGTACAGTCATCTGAAGATGGGCGGAGTGCACGAAGCTGCAACTATAAATAATCAGCGCGGCCTCTTATTCTTATTCAGAATAATATTTTGCTTAGATGAGAAAAGGAAAGAAAACGTGAGAAGAGACGGTATAAAAAAAAAGATCTCTCACACCGTGTCCTAGACAGGGCACGATTTGAGGCATCAAGAAAACCTCCCACAGCAAAGCAACATAAACAGACGTTATACATGAACATATAGGCGGTGAAAACATTGAATTTTAAGGGAAAGTCGTAGCATAGTCCAGAGCCCCCCCTCAGCCATTGTCCAGATAAGAGGTGACGTTCATCTTCAGCTCAGTTGAGGTTCTGTCACATGTCCATGTCCTTGGGGGAGGGAGGGGTGAGGAAACAGTCAAAGCATCTTTGTTGTTTTCTGAACATTCCAGGAGGAGTTGAGATAAGTCCGGCATCAAGGCCACAGTTTGGGTCAGGCAGAACTCGTGAATTGTTGTTTCTGCCTTTAAAGTCTCGCTGGTACATATTCTCTGATGGAAACTCCAAAACAGCCGAATTGATCCTTTACTCCAAAAGTCGAGCTCACAGGTTCTCCAAGATTATTCCCACCATTCGTGAGTGCTGCCAGGAAGTTCACAGTCCTGATAACAGCTGCTCCAATTCCCTGTCACAGCTCCACATTCAGTCAGAGCACTGCAGAGCTTCAACACATCCACACAAATTTGTAGACAACCAGATTCCACCAACCAAACAGCAAAAAAACCCAGTTTTCACCATAAATCCAATTGTTTCCATCGAGGTCAGAGTGTCCTCCTTACCCTGGCTCCTGTCGGGAGAAGTTGATTGATTGTGTTGAAAGACCAGCTGATCCTTCCAATTAAGAGGTATGCAGAAAAAAAAGAGGCGTTTTTAAGGGTTCACAGGACAAAAGAGCGCAGCAGGGAAGCGGGTAGGTGGTGGGTGGGGGGGGGGGCACGTCTGGTTTCACCGGAGAATAGAAGGAAAAAAACAAACAAACGTGCATTCCTGTTGATGATGCAGTAGAGGTGGTCAGTTTAAAATT